ATACATTTTATCACGGATGGATACAGTAAAACAAAGTGAATGATTCTACGAGAGTTCTTAACTACAGAACAGGAACAGTAAACTAAAAGACAGATCATAAAATACTCGGAGAGTAATAACACTAGCATAATTGCCTCGCCTGTGATGTTAATATTACATAGTCAATGGATAATAACATCACAGCGAATGATGAAATAATTCGCCTAGAAAATTCGTTAAAAGTTTTCCTTCAACAGGAGTTTAAAGCTGTTACAACAAGGAAATAAGATTTCGCAGTAATTTACAAGCTTCAGCGCAATGTACAGGATTATCTGTGTTAAGGGCTTGTCTATTTATTTATGTCTTACTTAACGGCGCGTCAGTAGCTCAGACTATACGGCGTCAAATGATATGATGATTGGTGATGAACTGGAAAGGACAATGAGAGGAATGTTCATGGCCTAAATTTAGGTACTACCTTGGAATTTTCCTTGATGTCCTGAGGAAAACCCAGAAAGACCGGTATCCCTGTTGAGAAGCGAAAGCGGGCCCACTCGCTTACAAGGCAGAAGCCTTAGGCTCGAGTTAACTGTTTCTGTGCAAAGTTTGTCAAATGAACAATAAATATTTATTTGTAGTCTAACCGTCCTTCTCCGGCAGTCCTCTGAAGAACCCTTTGGTTGCTGGTTGCAGCTGCTCCTCTAGGCGTTCCCTCTCACCCGTTGTTACTTTGAGTTGGCAGGTTGCGGCTGCGTCCTTCCTATCCAGTTCTGTTTCCCCTTTTTGTTGTTCTGGTGGATAATAGTTTGCGGGGTATGAGTTATCGGAGTGCTGGGCTCCAGTAAGCTTACTGTAACGGCTTACATTTCGGGGAAAAGGGGGGATGAACTGGAAACTACACGTGCTNCACTTATACTTTTAGCACAAAGAAAATTTCACGTTAAATTTAGAAGAGTTATCCAGAGATTGTTCCTGCAAACACTTAAACATAATTTCGGCTGTACACTTGGAGGGTTGTTCAGAGACTCCTCTCGCAGACTGACCCTGCTTCGAAGCAAGAAATCTTCGCGGCTTCAGCTCCGCCTCCAAGTTACTACCCTAATTTCTGCTGATTGGAACAATTCGAATTTAGGGAGTTAACCATAATTCTCACTGCTCCAATCACATAACTTTAATTTGGGACTTTGGACCTTAAAGTCCTAACGTCGTTTTAGACAGCTGCCTGAAGAATTATACTAGTAGCGTGGGTTGCTGGCCTTCCCACTTTTGACTTATGGGGTTCAAAACCTGTCAAGTGTAACTTTACCAAAGGATCCCGCCGGTCAACTTTCTAACTGAATTTCCAGGAAAACTCTGCGGGGTGCTTCCTGTCTGGTCTTTGTAGCAGTGAAGCAGGCCCTATTCTTGAAACCAAGAATCGGGCTAAGTCACCCTTGAGTGTTCCTTGCTACGTCTTGTGTATAATTTCTCTAAAAGAAATATTGATTACAAATAAAGCTGGTGGTGTCAGTGGTACGGCTACATAAGTGACTTTCGTTTTTGCTTCAGTTAGCTCAGTCGGTATGGCGACTGGCTACGCGATGGAAGGCTGGGGTTCGATATCCGGAAGGGGTGATTATTGTTTTCTCTCAACGTCGCCCAGATTTGTTCTGGGGCGCACCTAGCCTCCTGTCCAATGTATATCGAGGACTCTTCTCTGGGAGCAAAGTGGCCTGCAGTGAAACTGACCACTCACATCCAACTAGTGCCGAGATCAAGTATACGTGGATCTATACAACCACTTCCCCATACACCTTCATGCCATAGTGCTTATTAGTTAAGCGCAGGGACATCTTTACCTTTACTATGAATCCCAGAATATTACTGCGGACTGAGTTTTACAGACTATTGAGACTCAGTACATGGTATTCAATAGCCATGTCGTTTGTGAAATAGGCTGGTTCAGAACTAGATCCTGAGGAAAATATTTTGGAACTGAGAGTGAAGAAACATGAGAGGGAAGGAAAAAATTAAATTATATAATGAACAATTTCCTAAATTTACCTTTCACCTAATATTATTGTAAAATATAAGATGGAGAGGACCGGTAGCACACAGGAAGGAAATATATTCACAAATTTACCTGGAGATTAAGGCACAATAGATCATTGTAGGTCGCGATGCAAGGGCCAAAAAGGCCCATCCCTTATACATTCGTTCATACCTGGATATCAGCTTAATAATAAATGGAACGGCACAACTGATAGCGTGCTTTGTAAACATAAAGTAACATTTTTTTTAATTTTTGGATGAAAAGGAGCAAATGAAATTAGTATAAATAAAAATCACTTGAAAATTATGAACGACTTCAGCTGTTGTAAAATCTTAATAGATACGAAAATATTATTAAGGAATAAATTATGATCATCAAAGCAATTAATATTTCACAAATATTAAAATATTCCAAAACACGCAGAAATGTACATTTTTATCTCGGCTTAAATATGGCTACAGATGTTAACACGCATTTGCTTAGTTTCGGTTCTCAGCACCGAATGACTTCGCCGAAATATAGACATATCACTAGGCAGTCTTTTGTTTCCCCATCTATAAGAAATCTCAGAATTATTAACTGAAAACGATTTTAAAGATATGTAAAAAAAACAAAGTTCGCGACTTTAGTCCGCAAGCGAACTATACCGACCGAGTGACCTCCGCTTCTCGACGAAGTTAGTGCCAACTTTAGCGAATAGAGGGTGTCACGTGATCAGCTCAACGAATCCCTACGGCTGTTAATTTCGGTTTTCTAGACCGGAGTCGCCAGTTCCTTGAAATAGCTCCTCAATTATCATCACGAGGCTGAGTGGACCCCGTTCCAGACCCACTACTTCTCAGAGAATCTGGTAGAGCCGGTAATCGAACTCGGAACCTCTGGATCTGTAACCAGGATCTCTGACCACTACACCACAGAGAAGGTCCTTTAAAGAAATCTACGAAAGTTAATATTTTTGGTCTTACAAAATATTCCCATCCACCGCGACATCTCCTCATTTGGATGTGATGTTAATATAAAGCTGAAAGCCATCACCAAAAATGTTTGTTGTGAAATCAGAGAGAGCCCGAATGCTGCGGGCACCAAAATGAGAGAGGCTGAGCACGATCGCTGACATCGGGACTCAACCCCGCGACCTTCCTACTTGCAGCATAATGCCTCTACCAACTACGCTACCGCGTTTCCCCACTCGAAAGTGAGCGGGGACCTAAATATCTTGTGACGTGCACAGAAATACCACATTACATAGGAATAACCTGACACACTTCTGAACAGATACAATCAGAGTATACTGATAAATCAGAACATTGTTAGGAAACTGATAAAGAAGCCAGAGAGGTTAGGATTTTGAAATCAGATGATTACAATGATGAAATTACTGATAACATGATTTCCAGCACAGGTATATAAATAAAAATGGATCCTCTTCAATACAAATCACTAGGTATTTCCGTAAGCGAGAATACAAGGAAAGTTGTGAAAAACGCATTACTGCGTCACAGAACTATTATTTCTAAAATAGAGGATTGTAGTTTAGATTTCCAGCTACTTCCTGATTCAGGAGGGCCCTTTTTTATATCGTCCTACCTGATAAACTACCAGTCGCTCAGCCACACAAGAAATTTCCATTTTGTGAAACCCCAGAGTTCACATCGTGCTCACAATAGCTCTTCACTGGTCTCAACGTCGAGCCCCAATAATCCAGTATACCGCTCCATGCTATCACTCTAATATCCAATTTAATATTATCCTCCGATATATGTCTAGGTCTTCCCATTGCTCTCTTTCCTTCTTGCTTTGCCACAGAAATTCTATATGCATTTTTATTCGTCCCCATGTGTGCTACATGCCTTGGTAATTACATCGAAATGCTTTAATTTCCTATCTATTTATTTATCTATCTACCTACCTACCTACCTACCAACCTATCTATCTATCTATCTATCTACCTACCAACCTACCTACTACCTACCTACCTACCTACCTACATAGCTATCTATCTGTCTGCGAGGGGAGGCTGTAAACATGTCACAGATGGATATAAATCGTAAAACATGTGGTATTCGAAACTGAAAAAAAGAACAATTATTTCTCAACATATCCTGCACCAACATTGATACACTTGTCCCATCGCTTTACCAATACGTCGAAACCCGCAGCACAGAAGTATTTTGTCTGTTGTCTCAGCACATCCGTTTCAACTTCTTCCTCATCTGCGAAATATTTGCCACCCACTTCTAAACCGCTTTACGCGATAAACGCTTCCCACTGTAAACAGGAAACATTTCTTTATGAATATCCTTTGCCTTGAATCATTTTGCCCACAGAAAACGCACAACACAGTGCTGCTCTTAGATAGTATACTCCTCAAGCATGGTCCCCATTTTGAGTACCGAAACCAGCCTGTAAACATGCGCATGTGCGTCTGCCACCTAGACTGTCATGAAGCTGGACTGTGCTGCTACCTAGCGATATACATAGAAACACTATTACATCCATTACAGCTGTGACCTATTTACCGACTCTCCCTCATATATATGTGTAAACGTAACGTCCGATTCGCGTCAGTTGCAACGGGTTCGCGAGATCGCTGATAGAGTTGGGGCATGCGCACACAGATTCTTCAGCCGGGATTTTCCCTGCGTTAGTTCATCTTTTGACGGTTACTCATAGAGACATCTTCTTTCCTATACAGGGAGGTAAATGGGAATTTTCGAACACGAAGCAATAAATTCTGGCACTACTCAACGATGCTAGGTTGCATGGTAAATGAAAAGCAGGAAATACCAACCCATATTTCTTTATCAGGGCATTAAAAGTGTGGGCGAACTCTGATGACTGTGTGTTGGTGTATCAATGGTAGACCCGCGTGTTTTTGCGGAATTTCTGAATGTACTTATCTTATCTTGCATCTTATGACAATCTCCTTATTGAAACGTATTTAATATCCAAGTGCAATATCGAGCAAATCAGTCTGTTACCTGGTTGAGATTGGAGGCGTTATTCAAATGAAGTGTATACAGACAGAGACCGTTTTGTGCTATATTTTCCTGTCATTTTATATCGCGACAGGTTAGTAATATTTACGCACCAATGAAAATAATTCTACTGATGTGATAATTTCTTTGCATTAACCAAAAGATTTATTGAAAGATAAAAAAATAACAATTAATTTGGAAAAAGAATTACTTTCTGAACGTTATCCATCCTCCTGTTTTGTACTGAAAACAACGTTTCGGAGGCTTGACTCTGCCTCCGTGTTCAGATAAAAAGCCAATTAAGCTGGACCTAATCGATAGAGCTCCGTATCGGGAATGCATTTAAGAAATGTTTGTGTTTCATAGGCCAGGATGGTATGCTCCAGAAACCGGAAGCGCAACAATCAGGACACAGAATAGTGGGAGGCCATGATGCTCAACCGGGGGAACTCCCATTTCAGGTGAGTCACATGACCAAATGAAGCCTGTTTTGTTATTTCTATTAAGTCGATACTAAGTGAAAAATTTAAAATTAAGCGACTTCCTGTTGTCATTTCCAAAATACCACTGAACTGGAAAGGAGAACGAAAATATAATACAGGGTTATTCAAAAAGAATGAACCGATTTCATGATGCATTGCTTCAGTTCTCAAGCATCGTCATGGAATGAGTCAGTGACCATTTGAAAGAGGAGATATCTAAGTTGTGAATGGCTGCCACAGGGGCGCTGAAGTCGCGTACATTTCAAGGAGTAAATTTTACGTTTCTTCAAGAGTCACAGTTCAATTTCATGATGGGTTGTATCTAAAAGCCTTGAATCTTGACCAGTGACGTCATCACGCCTACGGCAACTAATTGACTAATTGATATGATATTTTACGGCAAGCCCAAGATATGTAGAATACAACAGATTGTCATCTCAAATAGCAATCTACTCTTAAATACACGGGTTGGAATAGGGGTATTGCTTTTGACTTGTATTTTGGAGATTTTCGGTTCGAAACTCACTCGGGACCTCGACAAACATGACTCTGATTCTTAACGATTTTACTCTGACCCTCCACGCACATACTGAGACAGTACCTCGATTAGGTCATGACAATTTTCTCTCAAATCATTCCTATCATCTAAAATCCATCAATTTGATTTTCTATAGTCTTACGTACTTACTTACTCAGGGCCGCGCCATAGCTCAAGCGGTTAGTTGCTGGCTTCCCACCGCGGCGGCCCGGGTTCGATCCCGGGTCTAGTCAAGTGGGATTCGTGGTGGACAAAGTGGAGCTGGGGCATGTTTTCTCCGAGTACTTTGGTTTCCCCTGCCAATATTCCACCAATTGCTCCACCATCACCCTCACCTATCATCTGGGACTGGTAAAATAGGCCAGAAGTGGCCGCAGTACAAGGGACTTAGTCCCACCCCACTAGCAATAAAAAAAACTCACTTACTCATGGAGCTGAGGCCTTCTGGAGGAGCCGCCAATTCTGCAGCTACTCAAGAAAATCCCAGTATTTTATGGAACCCGAAGGTTCATTACCGTGTTCACAAGAGCCCTCCACTGGTCCCTATCCTTAGCCAGATCAATCCAATCCATACCATCCCATCCTATTTCTCTAAGATCCATTTTTATATTGTCCACTCGCTTACGCCTTGGTATTCCCAGTGGTCTCTTTCCTGCCGTCTTTCCCACCAATATCCTATACGCATTCCTCGTCTCCCCCATCCGCGCTACATACCCTGCCCACCTCATCCTCCTTGACTTCATCATTCTAATTACACTTGGAGAAGAGTATAGTCTAGCAGATGAAATAGTCTTTAAATAATATATGAAAAATATCTCCTAATGTGATTTATATATATATATTTATGCAAAAAGTAAAGTTGTCCCTGTACTTAACTAATTAAACACTAAGCCATGAAGGCGTATGGGGGAGTGGATATGTAGATCCACATTTTCTTTACCTCGGCACCAGTTGGAGGTGAGTGGTTAGCTTCATACTTTGGTCGCTTTACCCCCGGGGAAAGAGCCCCCGGTACCCATTGGATAGGAGGATGGGTCGACCCCAGAGCCGGTCTGGACAAAGAAAAGAGAAAATTCTTCCATTACCGGGACTCGAATTCCGACCCTTCTGTCATCCAGCCCGTAGCCAGCATCTATATATATATAAAGTGCATATAGAGAATAATAAATGTACTAGCGCTGAAGATAATATAAGATTGAATTCTTATAAGAGTTTTATTTTCAGGTAGCAATTCAGAGGAAGTTCTATTTTGGAAGTGGATCCTTTCATTGGTGCGGAGGATCTATTATTGACAGCGAACATGTACTGACTGCCGGGCATTGCGTTTTTGGGTGAGAATCGCTTGGCAACGGTTTAAAGTGTATTCATAAGTGGCTTATGTCCATTGCTGATTTGTTGTTTGTGATCCGTTTAGTGCACCAAGCAATTATTACACTGCGGTAGGGCTGTAAATAACAGGACACTGACCACTGAACATACATTTATTCGCAGGGTTTTCACGCTAAAGCAACAGTTTCCTTATTACAGAGCTATTGATTGACAATTCAACTTATTGTTTTTTTCTCATCAAAGGAAATATGTATTCACTGGATTTTCAAAATAAGTGTTTACGTAATTCGAGATGCTTTAAGGTCGGTTTTGGTAACTTCTTTCTTCCTTATTACTCGAGGGGAAAATGCATTCATAAAAAAGGTAAAGCTATCCCTGTAACGGACCGTCGAGACCCATAGGGTTGTGAGACGTAGAGGCTCCCACATTTTCTCTAGATATTCGGCTCACAGACGGCGGTGAGGTTGTCAGCCTTACTCGCCGGCCGCCCTTTACCTCCAGAACGATTCCTAGTACTCATTTCTGTTAGAGGCTGAGTCGACCTCAGGGCCATAGCGCGGCTGGAAGGATTAGGTCAATTGAAAAAATCCAGTGACCTCCCGGCTTGTAGCATAGTGCCTCAACCAACTACGCTACCGCGTGCCCCTAATAACCAATTTAAGTAGACGTATTTCATTTCTCGACCGGGAGCTTGGCTATCCTGAATGAGGATTTTCGCGGTTCTTTCAGTCTCTCGAGACGTCCTAGCAAGTAATCCTAGAATTTAATGTACAATTTTTTTCTCCTTTTGAATGCAATTTAGTTTAATTACTATCACTTTATCACTTTACCTATGCACTTATTGGATACACTAAATTAGATAGAAGATAATGTGGTCCCATTCCGAATGTCCTCATGATATATTCTTCTTGAAAGAATTAGCACTGGGTTGCACTATTCTGAGATCTTCTTCTGTTTTCCTCAATAATCAATATTCCAACATTTCTCCATGCTGATTTATTAACGCGCCCTTAACGTGTGTGATAGCCCGGAACAAGCATCATATTATCATATCTTCGGTTTGTAACTTTGTGTTTTCATTTCTGCCCCGGCATTTTTAATGGTTACAGAATCAGTAAACACCTTTCCTTTCGACGACCTTAATATTTTATGTTCTTTTGCGTTTCTGTTACCGCCTCTGTGATCTAGTGGTCAGAGTTATTGGTTACAGATCCTGAGGTCCCGGGTTCAATTCCTGGCGCTACCAGATTTTCTGAGAGGTAGTGGGTCTGGAACGTGGCCCACTCTGCCTCGTGATGATAATTGAGGAGCTATTTCATTGAAATAGAGGTTCCGTTCTAGAAAACCGATATCAACGGCCGTGGTGATTCGTTGCGCTGACCACGCGACACTCTCTATTCGCTAAAGTTCGCACTATCTTCGCCGCCAAGCGGCGGGCGCTCGGTCGATATAGTTCGCTTGAGGACTCAAGCCACGGATTTTGTTTTTGTTTGTTTTTGGTAATGAGAAATTTAGTTGCCTTTGTGTTAATATACAGACCGTATCAGTAAAGGAGAACTCTCTCAATTCAGGTTACCCACTGCGGAGCTAATAGTGTACGCTGGTGTATTGAACAACTCCTGGCAGACAGCACAAGAAAACAGGGTGGTTCGACATGTTACAGAAGTTTTCCTTCACGAGGAATTCGACATCGACACGTACATTAACGACATTGCCGTATTACAGGTAGCGCTAATATTTAAATGACATATTCAAATATTTTATATCTTTGCGCATAAGTAACCTAGTTACAATGAAATTGTCACAGGAAATAACTAAATAATTCCGCGGTGCCTGGTCCTTCTTGAGATTCCACTACTCTTTAGGCTACTCAAGAATTTCCCAGTACTTTTCGGAAACCAAAGGTTCATTACCGTTTTCACAAGAGCTCTCCACTGGTCTCTATCCGAAGGTAAATTGCTACAGTCCATATCATCCATATCACAGTGGTGACTATGAAGAGTTCTGTCTTCTGGGATATAACGCCGAGTAGTCCGGTGAATGTCAAGTGACGTTTCGGGGAACATATTACATACATCTTCAGGATCAGAAAGTAAACCTAGTAAGAAGGTAGCATGAAGAAGGCAGCAAATGGGGCAAACTGCTTCATCGATCTTGAAGCAGGAGACAGCAGGTTCCTTAACAAATTTCGCATGTTATCTACCAAATTACACGTCTTCATAAATTTGTACGGAACTGGGTTGATTTACTATCCATCCCCTAGCCTCTCGCTATACGACTGAGCTATCCCGGCTCCTTGGCTTAATGCAGGGAATAATTTTAATGCTATCCAAAATTTTAAATGCATTCCTGTACTCTTTAAGAATAATAATAATTGTATTCATTAGGATACATATTAAGACCTAAATAGTAATGACCCAGATTGTACTATTTGCGCTTTAATGTGTATGCGAGTGAAGGAAACGATTACTCTTTACACGGCAAGAACAAGCAGGGTAGAATTAATGACCTCTGACGCTCATCGCGATAAATTTGGGATGTACACAAAGAGGATATGTTTGCAGGTGAGTCCTGGCTTTCCGACAGACAATCCTGATGTGAAAGCGATACCATTGCGCGAGGACATCGCTCCTGAGGGCCTCGCTTGTACGGTGAGTGGCTGGGGGCTCCTCGGTGACCCGGAGGAGACCAAGCCGCAGATTCTTCAGGTTGTCGCCTTACCCTTCATCACGCATGACACATGCAGACATATCTACAGAAACTACACGGACGGAAGCATTGAGCTTGGCATGAACTGTGCTGGCTACCTCGAGGGTGGCAAAGACGCCTGCAACGTGAGTACAACTTCTCCTATTTCCGTCATAAACTACAAACGCCCACTGTTAAGATATTTCGGAACGACGATAACAAATCAAAACCTGATTCAGGAGGAAATTAAGAGGAGATTGAACTCAGGTAATGCTTGCTACCACTAAGTCCAGAACCTTCTGTCTTCTCGTCTGCTGTCCAAAAACATAAAAATTAGAATATACAAAACTATAATTTTGCCCGTGGTTCTGTATGGGTGTGAAACTTAGTTTCTGACATCAAGGGAGGAGCATAGACTGAGGGTGTTTGAGAACAGGGTGTTGAGGAGAATATTTCGACTGAAGAGAGATGAAGTGACAGGAGGTTGGAGGAAACTTCATAATGAGGAGCTTCATAACTTGTACTCTTCTCCAAGTATAATTAGAATGATCAATTCAAGGAGGACGAGGTGGGCAGGGCATGTAGCACGAATGGGTAGAAGAGGAATGCATATAGGATATTGGTGGGAAAACCAGAAGGAAAGAGACAACTGGTAAGACTAAGACGTAGGTGGGTGGACAATATTAAAATGGATCTTAGAGAGATAGGATGGGATGGTATGGATCGGATTGATCTGGCTTAAGATAGGGACCAGTGGAGGTCTCTTATGAACACGGTAATGAACTTTCGGGTTCCATGAAATGCTGGGAAATTCTTGGGTAGCTCCTCAAGAAGGGCTCAGCTCTATAAGAAAGTAAGTGAGTAAGTAAGTAAGTAAGTAAGTAACCTTACAAATGCCAAGTGTCGAAATTTTCGATCTTTGCAAGCACTGTTGTGCCTGTACCCTGTTTGCTTGGTTTACTCTTCGATCCCGATGACAGAGGTAGTGTGTTTCTTCGGGATATCAGTGAACGCGTTTATCGGACTACAGAGTGTAACGTCCCATACGACAGCACTCTTTTGAATCATCGCTGTGACAACCCAGAATACAACATTGCTATATCTGACAGCGTGTGACACCTATTCGCATTTTATCTGAACTACGTAGTGAAGAAATATCAAAAAGTATATATACGTGTATTTCCTATACTTGAAATTATTAGGGAATGTACATTCTTTGTCCATGATAGAAGAAGGTCTCTGAAAAACTAAAATGGAGACATGGTACTGTAGAAATAGAAGAACATTCTTTTGCTTTTCATTAAATACCTGTATATTATCGCACTGCTTTAGTAAAGCCGTGTTGAGTTGAGTCGATGCGAGCCCAAACGAACCCAGCCAAGGAGAGCGTCGAGTCTAGTCGAGACAAGGAGTCGAGTAAGTGTTCAATAGAGACGCGACGAGAAGAGTCGAGTCGAGCCGAGCCGAGCCGAGACGAGTCAGGGTTCTTTCGAGTCGAGGCGTGTAGGGGTCGAGTTGAAACGAGTCGAGTGAAGCTGACGGCCTGCCCCTTTGTATCATTGTGTGTCAGACACGATTCGACTAGACTAGACTCGATTAGCTCACTGTCCCAGCAGCCCTTAAAGAAACCACAGCATGTAACAACTGCACTTCCGTTGGCGAAGAAACGTAAGACGTGATTTTTATTTTTCTTTTGTCTTTTTTTCTCTTGCAGGGTGACAGCGGTGGACCGCTCCAGTGTGGTGGGCTTCTCACAGGGGTAGTGTCATGGGGAGAGAAATGTGCCCTACCCAACTACCCTGGTGTATACTCTGATGTGGCCTACTACAAGGACTGGATAGCACAGCAGCTAGCTAGAAGCAGAACGAAGTTCATATTCAGAATGTGATAGTTGCTTGCCTGTTCAATAAACCATTACCTCTCCATCACTATTGCATTTCCAGTGGACTTGTCGATGAATAATATAAATAATATGAAAATATTCTGTAAAGACTTTAGATTAAGATTAAATAAGGGTAGCGGGGTTAATATGTCTCAAAGAAATGTTTGTTATATAATATAAATTACGGTATAAATATAAATGTAACATTACATTAGCTCAACATAATCAAGCTCCAGTTATAGTTGTGATTTTTGTGATTATTCTTTATAAAGATTATTATTATAAAAATAAAGTTAACTGCTTGGCATTTATCACTTATGATTCAAAGTGTAAACACCTAACATCCCCTTACGTGAGTGGTTAACGAGAGTTATATTATTTACCGTTTATTTAGTGAAAGCCAGGTGGATTGATGAGATCACTTTATGTAAAAGCCTATCGCTCTTACTATGTCGTCACACACGTGAGATAGTGCGAATAGTATTGCAAGATGGAAGCGAGGGAAGATAAAATTTATTATGGGTGTGGCATTTAACAATGCTTTTTATTTGAAGCTTAGAATTATAGTATTATTAGTATTTATTTTTATTCTATATATCAAATTATCAGTAACTTATGCTTCATAACAAAGAATTAATTATGATAATGATTCAGTATGGGCATGGAAAAACGCTAATGCACTAATTTCAGTTATTATCGAGGGACTGATGTAAACCACGGAAAACATCAGCCAGGATATCCTGTCTCCGGAGCGAGAACTGAACCAGGGATCTACTGAATAAAAAGCAGAAATACTAAGAATTTGGCCACAACATTCGATGCTAGAATTATCGATATAAATTTTATAGCAGGATATGTATAAACTAACAACGAAACTTGGATGCANAGCGCACAAAATGCGTCCGTTGTAACGAACGTCGTAACGTCCATTGTAGAAATAAATAAGAGAGGCGAATGCTACGGTTTCTTCTGGCTCCATTGCAGACAGAAAACTACGCACCACATTCTGCAACTGCGTGATGTCCTGAGCAACGTCCGTCATTAAGTACGTTCGTTATAACGGACGCATTTTGTGCGCTCATGTGACCCCAGCCTCAGGCTTTCGAATACATTGTACAATAAAATATAAAATTATTTTGAAACAAAGCCTATATTTCGCACCGAGAGATGTCACTAAAAACATTGTATTCGTTTGGAACGCTTGTGAGTGTTGTTAACTGTCGAGAAAAGTTATATTTTCTTTTTACATAAATTTTAAAATCAGAGTTATAGGCTAGCCACTAAGGCCACAAATCAAACCTGTTTTTATGCAATGAGGGCTCTTGAGGCGGGAACAGCACAACGAAAGGCAATGACATTATTAAATCTATTCCCATTATGCAACGTAAAACTGTGTTGAGGATTTTAGCGACATTATATAAATTTGCACGAGAGGTTTTCTGATCGATTATTTATGAACTAGCAGCAGGCCCACTGTATACATTATACAAAGAATAACCGAAGCTGTTCAAGGTGTAATGGTCTTCAATTTGACATGTAGCGAAGTATTATAATTCTTCTGAAGCACTTATCATTGTAAATTATTTTGTTAACTGTCTGTTTCACAGACCGCCTCTGTGGTCTAGTGGTCAGAGTTCCTGGCTACAGATCCATACGTCCCGGGGTCGATTCCCGGCGCTACCAGATTTTCTGAGAAGTAGTGGGGATAAATGAGGAGTTCTTTCAAGGAAATAGCGGCTCCGGTCTAGAAAACCGAAATTAACGGCCGTGGGGATTCTTTGCGCTGACCATGCGACACCCTCTATCAGCAAAAGTTTGCATTAACTTCGCCGACAAGCGCGGTCGCTAGGTCGGTATACTTCGCTTGCGGACTAAAACCACAATTATATCTAATCATCCTGTTACACTCATACAATTGTCTCATAGACTAAAACCACGTTTTTTTTTGTTTTTTTTTTTTTGCCTCACGAAAATTAAAACTATCATAATACAAAATTTTAATTTAAGCTTTTAAAAATCTTGAAACTAAATATATAAACATTTGTGTATACCATGCAATACGATTTGCACCATTGCATGGGTTCATAATTTTATTAAAATTATGATTTCATATCTTATTTTTCTTCTTCTGTAAGAAGGATCGAGTGAACGTAGCCCGTCTCGATACTACTGAGTTTGTCTATTCCTTCTTCTCCTTGGAATTCCTATTTTACGTCTTCCTATGGGATATGAAAGTGTGCGTATCTTTCCCCCTTGTATGTCCCATTCAGAGCCATAATATATTTTTCATCAAAATAAAGAAATGATAATTGTGAATAGACTCTTTACAACGGCTTACAATACTGACTTTCTTCACAGGAAAGAAATAGAATTGTGTGAGAAGATGGCCCTTTTAAGGGCCACTCTACATTTTTGTTCAAAAGTAGGAATGTACAGGCCACAATATCCATTTTCTTCACAGGAAGGAAATCGAATTGTGCGAGGAGACGGCAGTTTTATTTTGTTATTTCAGATTTAAAAATTATAGGCTCCGGAAAACCTGACAATAAATTAGGATCACCCTGTATTTCAGAATTGTATATGAAGCTTCCGGGCAGATATATCGATATTCTAATGGGCTTGTTTGGTATATCGATAGAGCCCAATTGTGTCACAACTGCATTTACCAGTAATACCTTGAAGTATTTATTTGTTTATGATAAGTTTCTAGATTGTGGATACTCTTGAGCTTTGTCACCAGTATTCATATTACTGATAGGGAGTACTATGAGTTTATCTTAGTAGGAGGACAGATGTGAGAGTGAATGTGAGAGTAAGTGATCATGTTGTCACAAACTGTGCTCTCTACAGTATTTATGCTGTTACTGCATACATCCCTCGGTGAGTACGTTTGAAATACAAGTTGTACATTCATCACAAATTGTTTTTGAGCATTTAAGAAGAGAACAGAAACGAAAGAAACCGTACTAATCACCAATATCATCATCATGAATATCATCAAGGCTTCGACCGTTATACCTGTTCCACTTTCAAGGTTTAAGATTTGTGCTTCCATCGTTTCTTACGTCTTCCTATGTTACTTCTTACTGAGGGCCTATATTTAAGAAATTTAGACGCATATGGAATTCAGTTTAAATACAACCTCGGGAAATATTGCAACCGATTGGTTCTGTACGCCTCTACAGACTCTAACCTAACCTAACCTAACCTAACAATATTTCCTGCATTAAGTTATTGTTCAATTTTCTATGTGTACCTTTCGTAATGTAACGTGCTGTATATCCTGCCAGAGATATAAATAGCTTAATATCTACAATTTCACACTTAGGTATTGCTGAGGAAATATTACTCATAATAACTAAGGTTATGAAGATAAATATGTAAGTATTCGAAAATTACTAGATTACATTTTAGCATATCATGTGAAGCAAAATTAAAGCACCGGAGACAGAGTCGAAAACGCGAGGTTTTATTCAGTAACGCTGTCTAATTGACATTACGAAGTACACTCAAAGACGCGTTACACAATACTTGAGATCTAAATACCAATTTTGGTAAGGCCATTATTTTGTAAAATTTGAGAATCACACCTTTTTACGCTCTTCTGTGCTATATATTTAGAGTTCCAGAAACTCGTTATAATCTATGACGTTTAATCGCAAAATAATTCAATCGATAACACATACTGAAGCTTTGATAAATGAATGAATGATGAAGCAGGTCACACACCTCTGTCTAGTACAGAGATTAATTAAGACTGCACGGAGTTAGACTTCCATGCCCCATTAAGTCTTCATGACATGGTACTTAAATAAGGAGAGGAAATGCTATTTAATTTTGGTCTGTAAATTTTAAGGACGAACAAACAAAAACAAACTCCGTAGCATGTAGTCCGCAGGAAAACTACTCTGTGGTCTAGTGATCAGAGTTCCTGGCTACAGATCCAGAGGTTCTGAGAAGTAGTGGGTCTGGAACGGGGTCCACTAAGCCTCGTGAGGATAACTGAGGAGCTATTTCAAGGAAATAGCGGCTCCGGTCTAGAAAACCGAGATTAATGCACATGGGGGTCCCTTGCGCTGACCACGCGACACCCTCTATCCTCAAAAGTTGTCATTAACTTCGCCGACAAGCGGCGATCGCTCGGTCGGTATAGTTCGAAGGACGAACAAAATATAAAATGTCTTAGGTGGGAATAACGGACAAGAGATTTTCAATGAAGACATATTATATTCCGAATTAAGAGACACGCCAGAGAAAGAGATAAAGGTAATGATGTCATTATTTTAATTAGTTAAAACATAACTGGAGTTCTCGATATTTGTGAAAACGCGAACCCCCTTTATTTGTATACAAATATATGCGACTCCTCTTGATTAAAGATACTTATATTTTTTTGGATTAATGACAGAAAACTCCAGTACATTTATCTTTATGACTCGGAGAGGCATGCTGGCGGGAGGGTAAGATCCTGGTAGGGCCACCTATGCCAGACATATGGAAGGGTAGGGACCAGACGAAATGTAATCACTGGTTCTCTAGGTTGGGTTTGTTCTTACGATTCTTCACAGGAAAAATTTACTGTTACAAAACCTCCTTAGGAGAACCACTGAGCAGGCCAAGACCAACACAGTGTTGTAGCACGTAAAGGAGAAAAAGTAGGCTGCAATTATATATTTCCGAAAGCACTTATATAAAATCTGGCTCGTTTAATGACTTGTTAAAGTTGTGCGGGTCTATAGCTACTCTCCAATTTACCCTTCAGGGCTCCGTGACCTCCAATACAGTCATGTCATGACCCAAATGTTATCGCGACCCACAGTTTGATAAATAACATGAGAGCCTATCAATATATCTTGGCATCTTATCGCAAATTAATTCTCTTTTTTCCGTCTATTCAGGTAACAAAACATTCCAAGCAACATTGCCAGATGCTGACAATGTCACTACGATAGAGAATGAGTCTACAGTGTTGCCGTATAATATACATGACAACGAAACAGTCGACGTGTGTAAGAGACCACAAACGAAGATCATAGGCGGCATGAAGGCTAGCCAAGGGGATTTCCCTTACCAGGTAAGTTTCTGTGAGCCAATAAGGACAGCAGGAATTGCAGATCAAAGAACTCAAAACGAAATTAATATAAGGTAAAAATAAATAAAATAAAACGCATTCAAAGCGACTGATTGCTTGCTTACTTACTCATGGAGCTGAGCTTTTCTTGAGAAGCGGCCAATTCTGCAGCTACTCAAGAATTTCTCACTACTTCATGGAACCCCAAGGTTCATTACCGTGTTCACAAGAGCCATCCACGCGTCCCTATCCTGAACCAGATCAATCCAATCCATACCATCCCATCCTATCTCTCTAAGATCCATTTTAATATTGCCCACGCACCTACGCCATGGTCTTCCCACTGGTCTCTTTCCTTCTGGCTTTCCCACCTATATACTTTCTTTTTCGCCCCATTCATGCTACATGCCCTGCCCATCTCATCCTCATCGACTTGATCATTCTAATTACACTTGTAGAAGAGTACAAGTTATGAAGCTCCTCATTATGCAGTTTTCTCCAACCTCCTGTCACTTCATTTCTCTTCGGTCCAAATATTCTCCTCAACACCCTCAGTCTATGTTACGATTGATGCTTTCTCATTCAAAAATAAGGTTTCTTTCTGGAGAAATATCATCAAATTTTGTCATCATTGACTGTCCTTTGTTTCCCAAGTAAAAAATTTCATATAATTTACGAGCCGCTTCTGTGGTCTAGTTATCAGTTTATGGCTACAGTACCAGAGGTCCCGGCTTCGATTCCCGGCGCTACCATATTTTCTGTGAAGTTGTAGCTCTGGAACGTGGTCCACTCAGCCTCGTGAGGATAACTGTGGAGGTATTTCAAGGAAATAGCGGCTCCGGTCTAGAAAACCGAAATTAACGGCCGTGGGGATCCGTTGCGCTGACCACCCGACACCCTTCTATACGCAAAAGTTGGCACTAATTTCGCCGACAAGCGGCGGACGCTCGGTCGGTATAGTTCGCTTGCGGACTAAAACCACGGAGTTTGTTTTATGAATTTAGGGCTATAATTTTGATTTCGGTATTAATCGCATGCTTTTGAAATCTATTCATAATTATACACCGTATAGGAAATCGAACGGTTTATTTGAACTCTCTGGAAATAATTCCGTGTTGTTAAGTTGATTTAAAGGGTTTAGATTCAAGGTTGATAATCGATGACGAAGTAACAGAAATATCGGACAAAGGAAGCATGGATTTTTTCAAGGCAATACATGATAATATATCTGAATGGATTGTGTAAAACAACAAGATCCAATTTCTTTCATAATTCAGATTAACTAAATGATAAAAACTGTAGTTCTCGTGCCCATTGGACAGGAAATAATATTGATATCAGTGTTTATCTGAAAGCGATCACGCAAGGACTGATCGCATCCTTCCAAGAAAGAGATCGTCGGTAATCCACCATTGTTTTGCAAAGGGAGAAGTCACGGCCTCTGGCCAATTAGGGAGCTGCTCCACCCTTTCAGACTTTAATATAGAATTGCAGGTTTCAAAAGTATAAGCCGATGAAAGCACTCAAATTTGAATTAAAAGCGAAACACTTAATACAAAAAATATACTTCATAAACATCATTAATATTTCATTCATTCATTCATTATTGGAGGGGGTGGGTTTCCCCATGCACCGCGACCAGGTGTTGATCTATTGTACGTCCCCCTTTGATATTCTACCAGTCGCCATACCCTTCCGGTATTGGTGCTCGCTATCAGCTCCGTTCAGACAGCGAGTTCGGCCCCTCTACTGGCAGTGGTACCCTATACTTCCCAATCTACCGGAGGCATTGGAAACTACTTGGGCGGGAAACTTTTTAACTACTTTTGCTCAGAGGTCTCCTAGAGACACGAGGATCTTTTACATGCCGTAAATCTACGACACGGGACCCACGGCTTAAAGTCCTTCCGGAGGACTTGTTCACTGAATTTTTCCGCCCTTAACGTTACCCCTAGACTACGGAGGCCGCTTCATTAATATTTACTACCAATTTAATTTCTGGGATTACCGAATAACGTAAATGTTCTGTTCATATATTCCTGTTACTTCTCATCCTTTGCCTTAATTACTAACAGCAAGAAAAATACGCCCCCTCACCGGATTCAACTACTCATAAAATAAAACTTNATAGCACGAATGGGGGAGACGAGGAATGCGTATAGGATATTGGTGGGAAAGCCAGAAGGAAAGAGATCACTGGCGAAACCAAGCACAGGTGGGTGGACAATATAAAATAAAAATGGATCTTAAGAGAGACAGGATGGGATGGCATGGATTGGATTGATCTGGCTCAGGATATGGACCAGTAGAGGACTCTTGTGAGCACGGTAATGAGCTTTCGGGTTCCATAAATTGCTGACAAAATTCTTGAGTAGCTGTACAATGGCGGCTTCTCAAGAAGGGCTCAGCTCCATGAATGAGTGAGTGAGAACTCACTTAGAACTTCATCTGCAGGGAAAGAGTTCTCTCAAGACAACTCTTGGCTATGTAGTTCAAATAAAATGCCGAAAGGTGTCAGAAGTTATGAGATATATCTATTTGCGAAAAGATCGAAATTATTGACAATTTGCACTTGTAAGGTTAATGATTACAATTCGGTGCTGATATTCGGTTTTACAGGTTTCAATTCGTCACAGCGGCTGGCAATTTAAGCACTTCTGCGGCGGTTCCATCATTGACGAACAGCACGTACTGACTGCAGCTCACTGTTTGTACAGGTGAGGTACAGTCAATAATAAAAGTGCGAGCAACACATAGACCAGGAATTCACAAATTCGCATGCTAAATCCCTTGAATGTACACAGGCTGCATTTCCTTAAGAGCATTCTGAAACGTGTGGCAGAGTGCTTCAACATTCTGTCTCTAAGTAAGTGGGAACTCCACACTCGATCAGCAAAGTCTGATCGAGACACTAGCGCTGCAAGGTGCTCCTAAAGTGGAGTAAGAGCCTATAGCTCATTCGGTAAGTTGGCGGACTACGGACTGAGGAGTCGAGGCAAGTTTAATCTCTATCCCATAGCGTCCAGACCGCATCTGGGGCACACATATCCTTCTATACAGTGCATACCGGGGACTTTTTCGCCGGGAATAAGGCAGCCGGAGCGTGAAGCTGACCGCTCACCTCCATCTAATACGGATGTCAAGAATGGTGGCGCTATACCTGCACTCCCCTTATGTCTTCATGTCGCGGTGCTTAATTAATTAACTAACTGAAGCGCTAAGACAACGTAGAATTTACTTTATGGCTCAGTGTCCCTTGCTCCATGATGATGGAGACTACGGGGCGTGGAAGTACAATTCCGCATATTTTAAATTATACTGTATGCCAATTCTCATTCTATCAACTGTTCCACATTCATTAATTATCATTATAATCGACCTTATATTGGCAGAGTCATTAAACAACCAACACATATCAAATAGTTTCCACATCCAATTAAGGCAATATGAATATATAAGAATAATTTTACTTTTCATGTTCTGGAGAAGTGCTATCTCTGTCTTTAGAGTTCAAGTGTTTAACTCTGAAGAAGAAAGGGCATGTCTTGCATAACGTCGGTATCGGTTTGCAAGACTACAGTCTGTCGCAACCCAGAGGGCCACGATCTGAGCAATTAGCCAAGAAAAAACTAAAGTTAACTAAACTCCTTGGCTTGAGTCCGAAAGCGAACTATACCGACCGAGCGATCGCCGCTTGTCGGCAATGTTAGTGCCAAATTTCGCCGACAGAGGGTGTCGCGTAGTCAGCGCAACGAATGAAATCGCCGTTAATTTCGGTTTTCTTGACCGGAGCCCCTATTTCCTTGAAATAGCTCTCAATTATCCTCATGAGGCAATCAGCCAAGAGAACACATCAAGATTTATAATAATTTTTTCTGTTTCCTGTTGTGGTTGTGGAACTCCGTCCCTCTGAGAGGCACAGATTTTGGACGTCTGAAAGGAAGTTAGTAACGAGAACATTTAAACCTAAAGGAAGGACATAATGGAATAATAGAAATTACCAAAATATTTTAATGGTCACTAAAGTAAGGAAGATAATTAATTATGTTAAAGTTGTTGGTACATACAGTAACCACTTGGTCTTGAAAGGTTAAATGTATAGCGATTTGTGATTCTATAAGCCCATATTAATCTGATCTCTGTTATCTTACAGTATAAGCCCTTTGGACATCAAGATCATAGCCGGAGATGTTTTTCTGGACCGCTCCAGTTGTACAAGCGTCAAGCGGTCAGTTAGCGCCATCTTCGTGCACGAGAAGTTCAACTTAACCACTTTACAAAACGACATAGCTCTGATACGGGTATGTCTCCACAAGTGCCGACCGCCATTTTATATAACTCGAAGACTGAATATCGTGCACACAAGATGGTGACCGTCGACCTATCCTGAGACAGTTTAAATCAGTTCACATACTCATACCTCACATAGATATGTTAGGGCTGTGAACTATCCAGGGCGGTGAACTGGTATGTTAGTACTGGAGCGCATTTCTGGTACTTGAATTAAATAATTTAGTGTTAAGTTCTATAGCTTTGTAGAGCTTGAGGTTCTGACAGTTATGGTTATGAAGGGTTCAATCTTATCGGATATAACGCCGTGAAGTCAGCTGAAAGTTAGCAGACGTTTCGGAGGAACATGTCTCCTCAATATTCAAAATCAAAAAACAAACCAAGGAAAAAAAACTAGTAGAAGAAAACGGGAAGATGTACTCAGCTTCTCCTATGTTTCTGCTAGTTTCTTGCTTGGCTTAAGGTTCGGCCACACAGAGCGCTACGCTATGTTCGCTACGTACGCTACGTACGCTGTGTACACTCTGCCACGCAGGTAACATAGGGAACATAGCGTACATAGCGTACGGAAGTCTGTGTGGCCAGTCACAATGGCAATAAAGGGAGATATTTTTCTGTTCGTATAGCGAACATAGCGTACGTAGCGCTCTGTGTGGCCGAACCTTTACACTTCGTTGTCTGAACATGGAAGCGGCATATTTCTCCGAAGCTTCGGATTGTCTCTGATACCTACACGAAGTTGAAACCAAAGGAATCTATTCTTCGACTTAATATCATGGTCTGTATATTATGCTACAAGCCGAAAGGTTGCAAGTTCGATTCCCGATGAAATCATTGATTTCTCAATTTATTTAATCTTTCCAGCCGCACTATGGCCCTGGGATCGACTCAGTCTCTAACATAAACGAGTACCAGGAATCTTCCTGGGGGTAAAGGGCGGCCGACGCGTAAGGCTGACAACCTCACCGCCATTTGTGAACAGATTGTCTAGAAAACGTGGGAGCCTCGACGTCTCACAAAAATATGGGCCTTCACAGCCTGTTACAAGGATAACTTTACCTTTTTACCTTAGTTTTATATTACAGATATAAAATTCCAGTTGTTTCCTCTCCGCAATATGAGTAATTATGTTGATCTGTTTCGAGCAGGTTAGTGAGCCCTTCCCCACGGACAGCAGCTTCATTGAGGCTATCACACTGATGAACAGTACAGCTGAAGAAGGCACGCTGTGTAATGTCACAGGGTGGGGGATCAGCAGTAATGTAAGTGCCGTACTTTGGCTAACTGAAGTAAGAACTCTATGCTAAAATATCCCGAACATTCAACACAACCAAAACCCAGAATCATAAACCTTATCCCAAGTCACTTCAATTCAATTTAAATGCTCATAACCTGTTATGTTCTTCACCTCTGATCACTTAACGGGTGTCAATATCGGCCATATACAGCTTGGATGGCAGGAATATTCACGAATATGAAGAAGTTTGTTGGATAGAAAGTGGCAGGGGAAACAGAAGTAATCGAAGAAAACCCATCCCAGTTCCACTTCATACACCACAAATCCCACATCAGATGGCCTGGGATTGAACTCGGAAGGCTGCGGTAGGAAGTTGGCGGCTAAACTTTTCTTGTAAATTAATTTTGTTATTGTTAAAATTAATATTATTACTATAAATACAGAGCAGTCGGTATAGCAACTGGATACGTGCTGGATGTCCGAAGAGTCGGAGTTCGAGTCCCGGTAGGGTCAAGAATTTTCTCTCCTCCACAGTATCCACACCGACTCTGGGGCCTATCCAGCCTCCTATCCAATAGGTACCGGGGATAAAGCGTTCAGAGCGTGAAGCTGACCACTCACCTCCAACTAATGCCGAGGTAAAAAAAAGTGGATTTATAATTCCACTCCCCCCATACGTCTTAATGTGGTAGTGCTGAATTAGTTAAGCATAAGGACAATTTTACCGTTTAACCATATTATAATTATTTACCTGTATAAAGTGTGAACATTCATTACGTACCTAAAACACACAGGTCAGCGCTGAGTTGCCAAACAACTTGCAGTTTGTGGAAATTCCCTTAATATCAGCGGAAAACTGTAGTAACCGTGAGAACCGGTACCCAATCCGAGAAGGCATGATTTGTGCAGGTTGTCAAGAGGGAGGCAAAGACGCCTGCCAGGTAAGCCACATGCAGCACACATACGATCTACTTGGCTTTAACTTTTTTTTTGTGTCTGTCATAACGGAATATACTTGAAAATTAATATAGATAGGTTTTTAATTACTCTCAGTAAGCGGACAATTAAATTGTATAAAATAAGCATGAGGGGGCACGCGTTAGTGCAGTTGGTTGAGGCACTATGCTACAAGCCGGAAGGTCGCAGGTTCGACCCCCGATAAGGTCATTGTATTTTTCAACTGACCTAATCCTTCCAGCCGCACTATGGCTCTGAGGTCGACTCAGCCTCTAACAGAAATGAGTACCAGGAATCTTCCTGGGGGTAAAGGGCGGCCAGCGCGTAAGGCCGACAACCGCACCACCATCTGTGAGCCAATTGTCTAGAAAATGTGGGAGCCTCGACATCTCACAATCCTTTGGGCCTCCAAGGCCTGTTACAGGGATAGCTTTACCTTTGTTATAAAACAAGCACAAAAATTGAGTTTTAAAATTAGAAAGGTTACAGACACAAATTTTTGCGAAACTTAAGAGTTCTCACGCTGTTTGTATTATTAAAAAAACATTCACGTTTGACTATGTGGGTGTGACTGCTAATAAGACATGAAGTTTACACGTACATACAGAGATGGCAGCTCTATGTCCGAAACGATGTCATTTGAATGTGACTTCGGTCTGATAGCGACAATTGATTAATCATATAAAGTAACATATTTTATGAGTATTAATTTACATTATACGATAGTAATAGTATGATTATACGCCTAAGAAATTATAATACTTCGGAATTCAGATTGGTTCTTCATATTTGTCACTGCTCTTTAGGGCGATTCTGGAGGCCCCTTACAGTGCAACGGTCTCCTGGTCGGGGTCGTGTCATGGGGCATAGGATGTGCGGCACCAGGCTTCCCTGGAGTGTACAGCGAGGTCGCCTATTACGCCGAGTGGATCAATGACATGAAGCTCAAAAAGAGTTCATCAGCGGCATTCAGCGGCTGTTCCTTCAAGCTCACGTTTCTCCTATCGCTCACCATTACTTCCCTATCTAGACACTGAGTTGTGTGAGGTCACCTGGGAAAGTGTTTCCCAACCGAGGGCCTCACGATCGCAACTGTAAAGCTTTCTATCTTCTGAGATGTGACGC